TTCCGCCGTCTACAAAGTGGATCGAGAATACAGTTTGTCGAATCCTCTACTTATGTATACATATACAGGGTGTAAACCTACAGGTGGGCAATATTTTAAGGACGTGTTCTATGGTCAAAAATAAGACGAAAATCAAGAGAGAGAAAATTGCGTTTGGGGCCTCGTTAATTAGTTATTAACGTTTAAAAATTTGGCGCTTCTGCCCCTGAAATAGAGCAATCCGGCCTGCACCGGCGGGTGTTTTTACCGTACGCGCAGCTGATCATCGTCGGTCAATGTATGTATAATGTGTGTATGTATGTTATAAATATGTACATATAAATGGACCAACCATGAAGAGAAAAGTCTATTTTTCGGCCCTAAGGCCTGAATTGTCTGGCCCTAAGGCAAGAAAACTCTATTTTCGGTCCATTTTATAGGCACCGAAAATGGTCTTTTTTAGCTACGCGTTATAAAAAATAATTATCTTCTCTATGAGAAGAACTGCATACTTTGTCCAGTCGTTGGCATTTAAAGCTACTCGTATCGTGTGAGAAGTGATCTGAAATTGATCTCGAAATCTCGGTCGTTCCCTGTTATTGGCTCGGCGCGCGACGGTTCGTTGACTACGCGCAGCGCGGCGAAACGAATACAAGATTTCGACACCCCGATTCTAATTATTGCACACTTAATTCACTAATGAACCGTATCAAATCCGAATGGGAACGATTCACAACGAAGTCTCGAATCGAACCGGCACTCGTGCACCGATTTCACGGATTTCACGGGCCACCTGTCGCACTTCCATTGTTATCACGGTACCACCCCGTGCGGGTATAGATCGCCTGGGTTCACCAAATCGGACACGCACGGTGCAAAACTAAATTGCTACGCTGTACAAGATTTTTTAAATTGACATGCAAACGTGAATCAGCGTTATGTGTTTAAGGAGCTAGAGTAGTCACGTGACTTTTCTAACATTTTTCGGTAAAATGTTTACTTGCTGGCCCTAGTCTTAATTGCTTTTGGTTTCACTTCGTCTGTTTTTTTACACTTATTTGCCATTTTTTTGTATATGTTGTTGTCTTTTTTCTTTTCTTTCTCTTCTATTTCATCTTATGTTTGTTATTGTTACTATATTTTTACTGTATTCTTTCTACTGTTTTATAATGGGCTCTGCCCGTGAAATAAACTATTGTGGGATTTTATTTAGAAACGGGTATACAATTGAAATAGAAACTGTGAAGACTTAAATAAAAGATTTTTTAAATTGACATGCAAACGTGAATCAGCGTTATGTGTTTAAGGAGCTAGAGTAGTCACGTGACTTTTCTAACATTTTTCGGTAAAATGTTTACTTGCTGGCCCTAGTCTTAATTGCTTTTGGTTTCACTTCGTCTGTTTTTTTACACTTATTTGCCATTTTTTTGTATATGTTGTTGTCTTTTTTCTTTTCTTTCTCTTCTATTTCATCTTATGTTTGTTATTGTTACTATATTTTTACTGTATTCTTTCTACTGTTTTATAATGGGCTCTGCCCGTGAAATAAACTATTGTGGGATTTTATTTAGAAACGGGTATACAATTGAAATAGAAACTGTGAAGACTTAAATAAATGAACCGTACTTATTAAATACTATTTTTAAGCGTTGTAATGCTTCGTTAATTTGTGTTAAACGACACTTGTATTCCGACGCAATATTATATTTCGACACTGTTACGACTCGACACACCGCAGTACATTATTACTGAACTCGACATTCGACGACTCGAAGTTTCTCGACAACGATTCTCTTTTTTATAATAAACATTTTCTCTAGGAAACTAACATGAACAATTTGTTAATAGGTAAGTCTAATGATAAATGAACGGTAAACTAGATGAACGCCCTCTATCCCACACTATTATTATTATTATTATAAAATTTTGAGGTTTTTTGCTCTGTTTTCATCCGTCATTACCGTATCAAACGTTGTATCGATCATTGCACGCATGGTCGTATCAAACATTATACGAAACGTCGTACTTACGACCGGCAGTATATACATATATCTGTATCGTACATAAGAATTGGAAATGCGAGAAAAGTTTCCCATATGCACACGTAAGAAGAGCAAGGGACAATATTGGCAATATTTGGTTTGATTCTGGTGCGAACCGTTGCCACCGTCTATAATATACGAAAGGGGGTGGACCAACCCCTTAAGGAGGGTGTGTCGGGATGTTAGGAGCCGATTACCATTTGAATGGTAACACCGACCCTCTTCTGTTCGGTTGCATTATAACGCCTCGCCTTCTGCGAACCCCCTGACCGGTATATGGCGTCGGCGACGGTCTGACCACAGAGCTATCTATCTATCTATCTGTCTGTCTGTTAGAAATAGGGGAGGATTTCTTATTTTCGCGACCGTATGTTCCGTATTTCCAAATGTCCAAAGTCACCCCTTGAGCATAGACACGATATGCGCCGAGTCCTCTGTTCGTAGAAGGCCTTCGCTTCAAATAATTTTTCATAATTTCAATGAAACCAGCACTGCGTCAATAGTGTAGATGTGTGGGTATTACTGCGGAGTAGAAATATGGTTAACCCTTTGAAGCTATTGATTTGAGTTGCAAATAAATGAAAGCTTTCAATTTTTTGTTTTCATGAATGCTCAAGGATTACTTTATAAGAAACAAATTCATTTTGTTACCTAATAT